GAAAGATACAAATAATAATATTGAGTGTTTATAAATGTTGGGATTTGAATTGCCTTTTATTTTGTTAATCTATATTTTGTAAAATGTTTACTATATATATAAAACACTTTTGTATGTAGGAAGAAATTATTGTTAATATACAGTATAATTATTGATATATTTTCAAAATTTTATAATTTTTAAAATTCTCTTTAAAATTACGTCCAGGCCATAAACTTTGTAGGAAAGCGCTAGTTTTCTAGGCTTAATGAGGAGACTGACTCATGTCTCGTGTATTAAATGTGCTGGGGCTGAGGCAGGCACTGGGCTCGGAGCGCCCAGGCGCAGCAGGAGCAGGGCGGGAAGTCAAGGCATTTTGAAGAGGAAATGTTGGTGCTGGTGCTGCAACAATGTACATGAAGCATGAGCTTTATTTTTAGCTGTCTGTTTATTTTATAGTTATTTTTTAGAGGATCAAACTTATATTAAGCAGTAGCTAAAGGTTGCTGAGTCTGTGCCACATTCCAGGCAGTGCTGCGGCACTGACACACGAGGCTCTTCTGATCCTACAGCTACCCTCTAAGGAGGCTTTTTAAAAATAATTGTATCCATTTTACAGAAGAAGAAATTTAGGCTAAGACAGGTTTTTCATGTCACTGTGGCTGAGCTGGGACTCAAAACCAGTCTACTTGTCTGACCGTAGCCCAGGGCACGACCGACGCCTTCCAAGTGGCACGGATCGCGGAATACAGGGTCCCAGTGTGTTTGGTGCTGTGGCTCCTTGCGTGTTGCTCTCAGGCTTCTTTTCATACACAGTGTCAGGAGCAAAGGCTGCACTTCGCACCGCCCACCCCGTCTCAAGGGCAGGGGCACTCAGGGCAGCCCCCTGCTCAGGAAGGGGCGTCCTCAGTCCTCACCGGGCCGCGCGGGGAGGCAAGTGGCCCGCTCCGTGGGAAGGCGAAGGACGGCCCGTGGCGTGAGTGGGCACGCACCGAGTTCTCGTGTTGTGTTACGTTTATTCTCTAGTATGTTTCAAGAAGACAATCATATCATATAGTGAAATCGACACGTTTATGTCTTTTTTCCCATTGTTCACACCTCTAATTTCTTACTGTTATTTAATTATATTGGCTAATACCTCCAGAATAAGGAAAAACAAGTGTCCTTATCACCATTAATGGACATTTTTTTATTTTCTCTGATTTAGATAGGAGCTCTTCTGGTGCTGTTCTATGAAGTTTGATGCTGGTTTCTGGATTGAGATAGATGTATTTTAGCAACTGTACATCTCTCAGTTTTATTAATTTATTAAAAAGGCAACTGGATTTTTTCCATTAAAAATAGAAAATCAAGTCATTTAAAAAATTGGTTTCTGTCTTTCCTATTTAATCTGTGCCACTGCTTTTCTAATAACTAGTAGGTACGGGGCAGCACCTCTTTTTAAAGTATTCTAGCTGATTAGTAAAAAAAGAAATGAGAGAATTAGATTATTACCATTTTGTAATCTCCAATGAATTAATGGATCTAGGTGTTGAACATCAATAACTGAACATCACAAGGAGAAAACAACCAGTTATTGCATGTCTTCTGATGACAGACCACAATATAACCTTTATCTTGCCAAAATATCAAACCTAAGTCTGATCAAGCCTCTAGATCCAGCTGCTAACATGCAGGAAATACAGAAGACAGGGAGACGTGTTACACTGCACCGTGAGTATACAATCTGCAAAATCCAGACTGTGGGAAAATCCACGTGTGAAAGGTTTAGGTGACTCAACTGATAAATTGTAAGAAAAACAAATAAAGGGGGGACTGGTAGATTAGAAGAAATTTAACAGACACATCAGATTTTTAAAAATTGGCATGTACTGTATGATGTATAGATACACACTTGGGTGATTAAGCAATAAAGAAATGCAGGAAGGGTTTGCTTATAGAGGTCAGTGTGGTGGTACTTTTGCGGGGCGGCATAGGCTTGTAGGTGGGATGGGACATGTGGAATGACTTCTGGGTTAGCTGACAAAATTCTAGTTCCTCACCCAAATGATGGTTACAAAGGTGTACTTCCTTTTATTAATTTTTGGATGCCTTTCTATATTTGTGTTTTCATTTAAAATAAATGGGTTAAATTAAATGGCATTGGGGAAAGCTGGTGAGTTTGTGGAAGAGTCAGTCTGGTGAATATTCAATAGCTAGAAGATACAGGAAGGCTGGTGCAGCGGTGTGCTCCAAACCAGCTTTGTGAACAAGGAAGACCGGGCCTGCAGCCTTTTGCTCATGTGCATGCCATCAACACTCCCGGCATGGCCGTGTTCAAGCTACTCACTAAACATGGAGATAGAGGATGTGTACAATGGGCTTTAAAAGCCAGTGAGAGCCAGTTCCAGGAAAATGCCGAGTGGATGGGCACTAAAGATAAATTGCGACAGCCTTAAACATGTTTCTAGGAACATGAATCTTGCTTTGTTTTGATCAAGGCTCACCATAAAATGGATGATCTTTGTGAGAATCAGGCCAGGGCACCAAGGGGTCCTCATCCTTTGCTTCTTTTCTCCTTTGTGTTCTTCAAGAGATGCCAACTTTTCTGCTGGAAGAGGGGCAAGAGTGCTTCTGGACCCTGATCTTATGTTGATAATGAAAGAAGTGTGGAGCATGAGGCTGAGCTGGTGCGTAATTAGGGCTCCTGAGTTACTGAAGGGTATAGCACGAGAGAAGGCTTGAAAGCTACATGCTTTTGGCTTAGTGACCAACGTCTGCCTCTGGTGACAGGAAGGGGAAGATAGAAGGGACACCGCAAAGCTCCGGGCTCAAATGTCTCTACAACCCTGTGGATTGAGTCAATGTATAATTTTCAGGGAAATCCAATTTTATGGCTTAATGACTTCTGGAAACTGATTTAGGAGACATGAAATATTAACGTGGCCTCCTCACAGGTCCCAGTGCTTCTGGGCATCGGGACAGCACCTGCAGCGAAGTTTCTCTAGAATCGCTCCTTCCAACACTGTCCGAAGCCGGGAGCTGGCTCCGCCTCAGAACCACTGAGGAGAACCTTTGAGAATCCAGCTTTCTGGGCCCACTCCAGAGCTACTGGATCGCAGGGTTTGGGGCGGGGCACACAGATCCCTATTTTCCAAAAGACCTCCCCCAGGGCTTAACCAGTCCATGAGCTGGTATTTTGGAAAAGCAAAGGAGGACTAACTTATTTTATAGGAATGTATTTTGGGGCAGAAAACATGGCAACAGGGAGGAAGGACAAGGCACAAATGCAGGGACAACAGGAGCAGCTATGTCCCATGAACAGAAACGAAGCTCAAAAGTTTGGTCCAGGGATGCGGCGTGTGTGGGGCATCTCCAGCCCTCTCCCCGGGCTCGGCAATGGCCTCTCTCTGGCCGGCACCATCCAACTTCACGTGGGTTCTTCTAACCTCATACATCCCAATCTCAGAAGAGATTTCTGATGTGACTCTGCTCCCACTTCTGGGTGATGACACTTGAACAGGGGAAAAGAGTCTTAAAGCAGAGTGAATCTTCATTTTCGGAGCTTCAGACGGTGTGCAGAGGGGCAGCAGGGCTGGAGCACTGGGCTCAGGGACCTGCTCTTCCATGGTGAAGTCACACCTCATCAGTGGCCCCTGTGGACAAAACACGCCCTTCCTAACACTCAGGGAACTCAGGTGAGGTGTGGGAACAACATAGTGCAGAAGCTTCTCCTCTCAGTTCCCATTAGACCAAAGCTTCCCTTATTCTTGTTTCACCGAAGGCGACGTGGCGTGGTGGGTTCCCGGCTCTGCTCCCTGCATGGAGTCCCCTCCCCTGCTCCACGAGCCCAGTGAGCACTCAGACAACACGACAGTTTGCAGCTGCTTCAAGAAAGAAAACTAACTACCCAGTGTTTCCCCAGGCCACAGGCCTCAACCGCAGCCCAAATAAACTTTCTATACTAAAAAAAAAGAAAAAGATTAATCTGGGAATATAAACATGCAATATACTTCACTAATTGAATTTATGTTTCCAAGCCAAAGGTGGACTGTGGCCTTGAGTCCCTGACTTTGGAAATTTTGGAGGATCTCTCTGAAGCACGCAGAATGGGGTGGGCCGCTTTTCACATGGCCTCCATTTTGACGTCTCTATGGAGAATTGTGGCTAAGAGCAAGGGCACTGAGTTCGAGTCTTGATCTTGCACTTTCTGATCTTAGTCACATTTTTTAGCCTCTCTGAGCCTTCCTTGCTTGTAATGTTGGTACGATCAGTACTGGTATATGTATGCACACCTATGTATGTTGGTGTGTGTATACAACAATATATATCATAGGTATGCATGTATTCACTTCATGGAACTTTTGCAAGCAATACATAATTTGATTCAAGCAGAGTTCTTAATCCTTATCCAGTAAGAGTAATTGCTGGTTTTATATTATTACTCTCTGAATGTGCATCTCGCATAACCTCCACCATACAGAGACTGGCAAGGAGACTGATCCTTTCCATCTTATTTTGAGCTCCAAGGATTGGAAGCTGTTAGTCAAAAACTGATGGTATCTTTCTCTCCAGTATCATATGCTATTACAACTATTCTTTTTTAAAAATTATGTTTTTACATGATTTTCACAGTTAATCAATGTGTGTGTGTGTGTGTGTGTGTGTGTGTGTGTGGTTACATGACAAACTCAAACTGGGGGCTTGAATTCCCTGCGTCCCCTGTCTGAAAGGAGAAACACGGCAGAGAGCCTAATTATAACAAACTTCCCTGGTGATTTTTTTTACACACTAAACTTTCAGAATCATTCTGAACCCTCTTCCTTTACGTATTCATTCATCTGACTATGATTTATTGAGTGCCAGCCTGTCCCCCGAACAAAAGCGTTCAGTGTCACCGAGAGGATCTGCGTTCATGGAGACTGCGCTGTAGCTCATGCATCTTCTCTCTGCTGCTCAGGAGATCAAACCCCTTCCCCGCCCTGGGGCCACAACGTCAGCGTGGACAGACACTAAGGTGTGCCGCGCCAGGCCTTGGGGAGGGACGCGGCCTGAGAAACACGCCTGGAAAAGTTGGCACGGGCAGACTGTAAGTGACCGTCCAACCTCGACAGTGCCACCGAGTGTCTGGCACTTTACAAATGTTATTTTATTTAATCAGCATAACATATAGGTATTATTATAACCTGACATTAGCACATCAAGCGTCTACTTTTAACTCCAGCCAGGCAAAGAAGCCTGGAAAACAGAAGCATTCCCAGCAGACAGGCACGCTGGGCAGCAGAAAACTATACAAAGTGAAAAGCAGATCCCAAGTCTGAAGCGTCAATTATATTTCTAACAATTGCATATGGACTTCATTAGCCGGCTAAATGGTACCTATTTTATCATCTCGCCAGCTGGAGGGATTTCCAGTAGGAAACGTGAGAAGGGAATAAGTCTCGGAATCTCAGGTTCCCTGGGGCCTTCTGGAATCCATACAGATTAAGCAAGATAAGGTCAGCTCTCAATTCCCTTCTCTTCTTCCTGCACCCTCCACACGGCTACCTCACCAACAAACAAGACCGAGCACCTGTATCTGTCCAGAGGCGGCGGGGGCTGCTTTGCTTCCCATCCCTTGGGGCCTGGGAGGCTGAGCTTCCCTCAGGGATGGTAGGCAGAGGCAGAAAGAATTCATCCCGCACCAGCTCTCGGTGGGAACTTGTGTCTCTTTGACATGAGGTTCTTTATTATATGTTTCCTATTACATCTTCAGCACAGCTTTGTGTTGGCTTTTCCCATAGGTTAAATATAATGATGGGCAACCTGATCCTGAAGGTAACAGAATAATCTTAGAGGACACAGGCTCTATTTAATTCCTGCCAAATGACAGAATATACCCAGACTTTGAACAGGCCCCTGCAGAACTCTAATAAGACTTTGTGTCTCGCTGAGCTTGGAGCCAGCATCTTCCCTTTCTGTTCTCTTCCCACTCCCAGGCAGGATCTGATTTCACACCACTTGGTCCGTAAGAGGATAATGGTATCACAATTCAAGACAGGCAGCCGTGGAGAATTGTTTTATATGCTTCTGACACTCAAGAAGTTTCAATGGCCTGGGCTAGGTCTCGGTTTTCAAGGAGAGTCAATTCCCGGGCAGAAGACTGTGGGGCAAAATAGAAAAAACATGGGCTTTGGAATCAGGTTGACATGGGTTGGAAACATGTCTGGCCTCAGTTTCCTAATTAGTAAAATAATAATAACTTACTCATCATACAGAAATCTTGCAGGAATGTAATGAAGGAAATATATGGAATCCCACGGGGCAGGGAGGGGGTGCGTCTTTTTACACTTGGCTTCATTTTTAAGATAATTCGAAAATTGTTTGCTCAGTTAATTTTCCCCTGCCTGGGACAGTGTGCCATGCTCTTCTCAGAGCAGCTCACAAACACAGTGTCTGGCACTGGGAGGGCAGGTGGCGGCATTAATTTTGAACGTTTGGAGAACTAGATTTTCTACCTGGACTCTCTCTCTCTCTCTCTCTCTCTCTGAGGGCCTTTCATACAGTGAAGCAGGTGCTGTTTTAGGTGCGAGGGTCATATAAACAAGGCATGCGCAGTCGCTCTCGCGGGACTCATAGACTGGTGCCAGGTGCTGCAGGGCTGTGGGAGGTGCTTGGGCAACAGGGGTTGGCGGGGAAGGTTGCAGTCCATTCTGTCAGCGATGGGAAAGAATCAAGGGTGATGTCAAACAGAAAGAGACTCTTGAGCTAGGACTTGAGGATGATTAGCTGTTCTAAGGGAAGAAAGTCCGTCACAGCAAATTCTAGACACTTGGCGAATCAGACAGATGGCCTGGGTGGGTCAGGAAATGGCTGCCACTTCCTGGCCGCAGGAGCGCGGTGCAGATGGGGCCCACAGATGAGGTTGGCGAGCTGTCCTGGGGCCATGGCCTGAGGGTTTTATGGGGCACACGAAGGAACGTGTGCATGTTCACCAGCATGTTATGGAAATAACAAAATTGTCTCTGTGAGGAAGTGGGACATTTAGATTTCTACTTTAGAAAATGACTTTGGCTGTAATGTAGTATCTCTTAGAGGTTAAATGGTCTCATTTGTGTTCCTGCTTGGGGTTTGTAGCATTTCTTGAATCTTTGGCTTAAAGTTTTTCATCCAGTTTGGAAAATTCTTAGCCATTATCTCTGTATTGCTTCTTCTTCATTCTCCCTCTGCTCTTTTCTGTAAATTTTACCATGTACCATGCATGTGTCTCTTAGAATCTTCTCTAAATTTTCCATTCTTGCTTCTTCCTGTGATTGTGTAATCTGCTTTTGTAAGTGAAGAATCGCTGGAACACAGCTATGCCCACTTGTTTGTGTATTGTCAGCGACAGCTTTTGTTGTCTGAGGCAGAGGGCAGTAGTTTCAACAGAAACTGTATGGCCCACAAAGCCTAAAATATTTACTGTCTGGTCCTTGACAGAGAAAGTTTGCTGATCTTTGGGCTGATATGTTGTTAAATGATCGATTGCGTTCTTTATTTCAGTTATCCTTTTTTTCATTTATGCAATTTCTAATTGATTCTTTTTAATTTTTTCTAGTTCTCTGCTTAAATGTTTCATCTTTGAATTTTTAAACATATTGATCACAATTTATTTTACTGTATAAAAGCTAACTTATTAATCAAAGTAGGCATTCCATAAAAGAGCATAATTAGTATGACTCTCACTTCTGTTTCCAGTGAAATATAATTGCAATATTTTTTGGTGAAAATTCTTAAATTTGATCACAAATTACTGAAGACACTTCAGCAGGGCTCTCAGAATTACCAGTTCTATTCAGCTGAGTTTATTTTGTTTTATTTTATTTCAAAGTATTATAGGGGTATTTGTACCATTAAATCACAGTGTTTTAAAAAATTCATGTCTAAGTAGTAGCAATATCTGGATCTCTTGTTTTGTACTGTCTTTTTTTCTCTCTTGTTTTTTGGCCATTTTGTGTCTCATCTTCTGTTGTAATACTTATTGAGTGGTGACTGCTTTATGACACATTATAGAGCAATTTTGAGGCTTTTGTCTGGATGGAGTTTCTTTGCTTCAGACAAGATCAACTATGGTTTCTTGTAGACAGCTAGTTCAGGGCAGATAAGCTTAATCCAGTCAGTGGCTGAGCTGAGGGGCAATTGTTCTTCAGTCTTACATAGGCTGTTGTATTCTTGCAAACCCATATTCTTGGGGACTAACTCTTTGAGACTCAAAGTAAAACCCAGAGATGTTCTCCAGGGCTCCTTTTCCCTGGTGGGCTCTGAACTCCATTGCCCACCCCCCCCACATGTGGTTCTGCTCAGTTTCGGGACCACTGCTTTTGTTTCGCTTGCCACCTCTCAGCGGCTGCCTCTAAACCAGCAAATGGAAAAGCACTGCTTAATATTTGGCCCACATCTTTGCATTTCCCTTTCCTCCAAAATCATGGACATTGAAGACCTATTGGCTGAGTAACTCTGGTGACTTCAAAAAGATTTTTTTTGTGTGTGTATTTTCTTGTGTTTTTATGATTGTTATTGGAAGGAAGATTGGTCTATACCTAGCTACTCCACCATTACTGGAAGTGGAATTGTGGGTTTTAGGTAGTTTATAACAAGGCACAGAAATGCAAGGTCAGTTTAGGAGAAATTGTATCCATTTGAGAAAATAATGATGATTTGAACCAAAGGCTGTAGTAGTGAATAGTGAGTAGGATATACAGTTGGTAAATAAATATGTGAACAGTGCTCAACATCATTAGCTAGCAGAGAAATGTACACTAGAATCATAACAAGATACTAATACATACCTATCAGACTGTCTAAAATAAAAAATGAGTGACAACACCAAATGCTGGTGAGGATGTGGAGAAACTGTATTACTTTCACATTGCTAGTGTGAATGGTAAATGGTATAGCCACTCTGGAAAGCAGTTTGACAGTTTTTTATAAAACTAAACATGGTATTATCATCCAATTTATGAATTACACTCTTGAGTGTTTATCACAGATAAATAAAAAGTAATGTTTATGTAAAAATAAAAAAGTACATGAGTGTCCTCAGCAGGTTTACTTATAGAATCTCCAAATGGGAAACAACTCATATGTCCTTCAACAAGTGAGGGAGTAAACAAATTGTGGTACCATGAAATGCTACTCAGTAATATAAAAGAACAGACTACTAATCTGCACAAAAACTTGGATGAATATTGAGGAAATAATGCTTAGTGAAAAGAAGCCAATGCTGAAAGGTTACACCCAATATGATTCCTCATATGTAATATTCTTGAAATGAAAATTTCATTTCAATGAATGTACACACGTGAATGTACACACGGCGCACACACACAAGTAGAACCAGAGGAAATTGAATAATACTGGTGTATTGTGTCGACGTCAGTATCTTGGGTGTGATATTGTACTATAGTTTCACAAAATGCTATCATCGGGGGAAACTGGATCAAGAATACATGGGATTGCTCTCTGTTATTTCATATAATGGCTTATGAATCTACAATTATCATAATACAAATTTTAATAAAACCCTAAAAATCAACAATCAAAGAATATCACTCAGAATTCCACGAGCTTTTAAAAAAATCATCTTGCATATTCTGTTACATATGAACATTTTTTAATGGAAGCCTTATTATTATGCTCCAGCCTGTGGGCCTCACTTCCCACCCCACACTCAGACTTTCTGGCTGATCGGGACCATTCCAGCCCCTCGCTGACAGCTTTTCCTGGAAGCAGAGAACAGAACTTTGACCCCTGCTAACGACATTGGTGGTGCCTGAGGGCAGGCTTACCCAACCCAGCTCTGCCCAAACAAGAGCTGATAACAGGACACAAAATCAACACATAGCCTGTTCCTCCAAGCCAGCCACCACCTACTAACAGGGACGGCATCCTGCACAGCCTTTTCACGGCACCCACTGACTCATTATACAGGGAGTGGTCAAATCTCACCCACAGACACCACCTAACGGCTCAGAAACTAAACAAGGCATGTGAATACCCAAACAAAAACCTAAAGGAAAGAAATAACAACTGAATTGACATGGAAGAAATCAGCGAAGGAACTCAGGAAATATGAAGAACCAAATGGAAAACACACCCCCAAAGAGGAGCATCAGCCCCCTAGAAACGGACACCAACCCAAATCAGGCAACCAAAGTGACAGAAGAGGAATTTCGTATGTGGATCATAAGAACACTCACTGACCTGCAACAACAACTCAATAACCAACACAAAGAAACCACAAAAAGCCTCCAGGACCTAGAACAAAAGTTCACTAAAGAAAGACACAATGAAGAAAAGTTTAACCGAACTCCTGGAAATGAAGAATCAATTCAAGGAGCTACAAAATACAGTTGAAAGTCTCAAAAACAGGGTAGATCAAACAGAAGAAAGAATCTCAGAGATTGACGATAACACCCTCCAACTAAATAAAACCATCACAGAGATAGAGCAGAGAAATAAGAGAAAAGAGCAAAGCCTACAAGAGATGTGGGATTATGTGAAGAAACCTAATGTGAGGGTCATAGGGTTACCAGAAGGGGAAGAGGACAACACCCAAGGGTTGGACAAGCTATTTGAAGATATAATAGAGGAAAATTTCCCGGGCCTTGCTCAAAAACCTCGATATACAAGTTCAAGAAGCTCAGAGGACCCCTGGGAGATTCAATGCAAACAGGAAGACGTCTCGACATGCAGTCATCAGATTGACCAAAATATCAACTAAAGAGGCCCTTCAAAGAGCTGTAAGACGAAAAAGCAAGTGACATACAAGGGAAAGCCAATTCGAATAACACCAGACTTCTCTAATGAGACTTTACAGCAAGGAGAGACTGGGGCCCCATTCTCACTCTTCTGAAACAAAACAATGCCCACCCTAGAATCTATTCCTGCAAAACTAAGCTTCATATATGAAGGAGAAATAAAGACATTCTCAGACAAGCAAAGGCTCAGAGAATTCACCAAGACAAGAACAGCCCTACAAGAAGTACTCAGAACAGTGTTACGCACGGAACACCATAATAAAAACTCACGAATATAAAAACAACCAAAACCCAAAGATTAAAGGCCAGATAATACAATGGCTCAAGAGAGAAATCAAAGCAACAACATCCAACCCAACAGAAT